CTGTAAACCGCTTAGAGAGGCCTGAAAGGCCTATGAAGCGGTATATAAGTCTACTGCTATTACTATGTCTACCTTTGATTTAAAAAGCACTTGGTAGCACCATTTCTAAAATTATTTGCAGCAAAAAAACTTTAAAGGGCAAATAGATACTGCAGGAGCTAACCTTCAGTAGGATAATTATGCAGAAAAGAAAAGAAAAATCAATCTGGGGTCAAGTTGTGTATGCAAGTTCTTAAAAAAAAGCAACCAGTACGTATTGATGAATTTTCATATACTAAATTCAATAGTTGTACACTCCTATTGAAAATGAATCGGCAAAAGAAAAAAAATCATTTCTAGAGTAGCTTCCCATAAAGAATAATTCACACTTACAATGTAATTGTCTGAGAAGTGATGAGTATTTTCTGAAAAACATAATTATTGCTTTTTGGGGGGAAATTATGTATTGCTAAACTCTTTACTACAAATAATGTGTGTAGAATTATAGCACTACAACTAAAACTGTAGACTGTTTTAGTTCATTCAAAGATGTAAAAGTATAGCATTTAGCTGCCGTGCATTGCATAATTTGATGTGCCTCATGCCAGTAATAGAAAATGTATTTTGAAAAATGGTGAACAGATTTTACATCTAGGCAACTGCAGCCAAAATGATAAAAAAGGGAAAAATGAAAGAGTCATTGAGCATAATTAGTGGTTGTCAAGTTTCAATTTGCTTAAATTATATTCACAAAAATAGTAGAATGTTATGATTTCTACTTGCAGCTGGGCACTCTATCTGTAAAAGTGTACTCCTGCCATTCATCAAAACTATTAATATCCTTCAGAAGCCTACTGTCGTTTATTGAATATTTTTGTAATGAGTGTAACACTACAGATTTTACACCATTTCTCCAAATATCTAGTTAGGCTTTATTTTCCCACTAAGACAAGCAAAATGGGGTAGAAAAAGCAACACTTCCAGATGGGGAAGTGTGCAGTTCCCAGGAGAGAATTTGATTTTAAAACAAATACTGTCAATTCCTTCCCTGGGAAAGAAATCATCCATCAAAACACTACTGTTTAAATAGCTGCTTAATATTATTTTAGCTTGTGTCCTAGGTGTTGTAACAAAATATATACCATAATGGACATGGCCAGTCCAGTGGTGGGATTCATTTTTTTTACTACTGGTTCTGTGGGCGTGGCTTGGTGGGCATGGCAGGGGAAGGAAGAATACTATAAAATCTCCATTCCCACCTCACTCCAGGGGAAGGTTACTGCAAAATCCTCATTTCCTCCTAATCAGTTGGGACTCAGGAGGCAGATAATACATGGGGGTGTGCCAGTCAGGGGTTGTATTTACCAGTTCTCTGAACTACTCAAAATTTCCATTACTGGTTCTCCAGAACTGGTCAGAACCTGCTGAATACTACTTCTGGACCAGTTCCCAAACACCACGTCCTAGGAAAGCCAACTGGTAAGACAGAGAAATTAATTGTTCCATAATATGAATAAAAATTGTTTTCTAAACACTCAAATACAGCCTGTGGTTTTCAAATCTCCTTTCCTATACATATACAAATTCACAGGTATTTTGCAATATAACACAATGAGAAATCCTTTCACAGACGTATTATTGTGTTGCAATGTGTAAATGCTTACAAAACTGGGGGTGGTTTGTAGATTGGCAGTAGGATCGGTATTTCAAAGTTATAATACAAGGTTCAGTTAAAGACCTGTACAGAGTGATGATATTAATAGCCCTTATACACTGCTTCACAGTGCTTTACAGCCCCCTCTAAGCAGTTTACAAGTGACCAAATTTCCCCCATCAATCTGAGTCCTCATTTTACTGACCTCGGAAGGATGGAAGGCTGAGTCAACCTTGAGCCAGTCAGAATTGAACTCCTGCCTGTGGACAGATTTAGCCTGTAATACTGCATTCTAACCACTGTGCCAGCCTGGGTCCTTGATGGGGAATTATAACATAATTATATGTTATATAACATAATGACATTTCACTGTATTTTGCAATACAGCCAGTGTGTGGAGGTTGTTGTGAATACTAAGCCCGCTTTCACAAACCTGAAGCCTGTTTGCCATTTTTTCTTGCCAGATAGGCTTAGATATTCCCAGTCTGTATTCATTCATCTCACACCGGGGATCTAAATCTGCACATGGAAACTCAAAGGTGCCTTTTCAAAAGTAACTGGACTGTTTTTTTTCCTTGAGGAAGAAGAAGAAAACTTTTTGTTCTCAGCCAATAAGCTTCATGTGAGGGATCGATAGCAGGGTTAGGTTCCTGCCAGTTCTAACCTCTTCTATAGAATAGGTTCCACAAATCTACTGTGCCATTTAGAACCGGTTCCAGCTGCCTCCCCTTGCCCATCTGCACCACACTTGCCCCGCCCACCACTCACTGATTGGCTGGCTCACCAATCACCCCACCTGCTTCTAAGAGTCCTATCTAAACCTTAAAGTCTTAAAGCTGTCAAGTTTGAACACCCCTGGGGTTTTTTTTCTAAAGGGTTAGGGGTGCAAGGGTCTTGTAACTTGACAGCTTTAAGACTTACACACTTCAATGCCAGAGTTTCTGAGCCAACATTTTAGTTGCTAAGCAAGAGTGTTGTTAAGTGAGTTTCACCACATTTTACAAGTTGGCCACGTCCACCCAGTCACATGACTGCCAAGCCACTCCCTCTTGGTCACATGGCTGGCAAGCCACTCCCACAAAGCAGGCCACACCTAAAGAAGAGGTTCTAAAATTTTTTGAAACCCACCACTGATTGATAGGTACTGGCAGTTTCCTCAAGGAAAAACAGTCCGGTTGCCCTTTGAAAAAGTACTTTTGAGACAACTATGACCTGGATGACTGAGAATCTCCACAGACATCTTTACATAGAACAATGTATGTCCTGAGTCACACATGCAAAAATAGGTTATCCAAGGCCTTCTGCAAACCTTTTGGAGAAAAGGAGAAAGAAGCTTTGTGCTGAAGTGGGGAGTGAGACAGAGCTAAAATTCTCCTTCTTTCTCAGATTAAAATTGGAACTTGTAGGGAAAGAATTAAACCATATTAAAAATGCACACATATAATATCTGTTCTAAGAGTCTTCAACTTTGATTTAGAAGAACTGGATAATGTTCGCTAAGAGTGGCATTAAGTTTAATTACTTTTCCTCCAAGTTTGTGCCTCTGATGACCATTGTTTTTATCAATCTAGATCTTGTATACTGTATGTATTATATTTTATTCATTCATTTAGTAATATTTGCATGCCCTCTACTCTATATTGGCACCTCATGCATATTGCATATTGGTACCTTGGGGTTATTTGTAAACAGGATAAAATCACCATCACCTTGGGGTCTGCTCAGGACTTCACATTTTCTTGTCCATTTTCTTATTTAACTTTCTTCTAAGAAGTATGTGATTCTAGAGCCCTGTGTTATTTTGTCTACACTGATTGTTTTGTAAGAGTGTTGTGGTCTGCTGGTAGCCTGCAGAGCTGGCAGCAGTGTCTGGCAATGAGGAGGTTGGGAGGAACATAGGCCAGTCCTGAATATGGGGAAGGCTCGGATGTGGGGTCTGCATCTGAGGCAGAGGGGGGGGCAGGGCTATGTGGGAGTTATGTCTTGTCTCTGGAGCCTCCAGAGTTTGACATCAGCGAGGCAGAGGAACAGGGTGAACCTGTTCCCAGTACGTGCATGCACAGAGCTGCCAGAAGGCAAGAACAGTTAAGACAAAAGGAGCGACTCAGGAGTAAGGCTTGGAGATGATTGGCCCCTCACATAAGACCTAAAGGAGGAGTAAAGGCACGTGATTCTTTGCAGGAAGCAACTTTCTTCGTTCTGGTCGGTTTAAACTCTGAAGCTCCATTTTGACTCTGTGCTTTGTTTGGTCTTGCAAAGCTAATTGGCAATTAGGTCTTTGGCAACATTTCAAGGGAGATAAATGTGGGTGCTTATCAACCTTATTCCAAAAGACTGTGGCAGACTTCTGTCAGATTCTTTACAAACTATTTGTGACTCATTAAAGGCTGTGAACATAATTCACAGCCATTGAAATAAAAAGATGGTTTTTGGGACTAAAACGTGATGTGATTTTTATTTATTGTCTTAGGAAGCCTAGGTCAAAACATATTGAACGTATTTTCTATCATCCCCCTCCTTTTATTTTCCAGTAAGACAGGTTGAGTGACTCCTATGTCTTTCACATGCAAAGTTAAGGTAATGGCAGATAATGGCATCTCCCTGAAAAACAGATGGAGAACTTTCAAAACATCACAACCTGGCAGAAGACATAGCTATGGTGAAGAGACCCAGAAGGTTTCAAGGAGAGGACCTTGGAGATCCCCAACCTTTCATTGTGTGGGATCAGCCACAATGCTACAGTCAATAGGTAGACAAGAAGAATCACAGGGAAAGGTAACTAGTTGTGTTTACTTGTCTATGTTCTCAGTCATCCAGGCCATGATTGTTCCAAAGGTGCTTTTATCCAAAGGCAACTGGACTTTGTTTTCCTTAAAAAGGTTTCGCTTCTCATCCAAGAATGAGAAGCGAAATATCTTCAAGAAAAAACAAAGTCCAATTGCCTTTTGAAAAACGTACCTTTGGAATATGCCTTTACTATTTTACAATGTAATGACATCATTCTCTAAATGCAATGTACAAGCAAGTAAATAAAGCACACTGCTTCCAGGTAAAGAATGAGGAAATATCCAGAAAGAAATACCAAAATGCATCTGAAAGGAAAACTAACCAAGAAAACCCTAGGCACATCTATTGCTCACTGTAGAACCCAGATGCTCAAAAAATGTTAAGTGCAAATTCTTGATATTTAAAGGTTGCCCATCCTCTGCAATAACAAGCAAGAAACATAGCTTCAGCCTTCTGTCGAAATAAAATACAGACAAGCAAATAAACCTTATTTTCCACAATCAAGGAATAATAAGGAAATTATACTGATGCCTCTAAATCTGTGCCCAGAGTAAATGATTCGAGAATGATGGGTACTCACCCAAATCTGCAGTTTTACCCTCTTGTCATTCCTGTAAACAGTCTTCACTTTGAAGTCAATTCCCACTGTACTGACAAAGGCAGGTGTGAAAGTGTCATCAGCATATCTGAAGAGAAAGGAGGTCTTGCCCACACTACTGTTGCCAATGATCAGGAGCTTGAACATATAATCAAAGTTCTGGTCTGAAACATCCTTGGGTCTATATCTGGCATCTGTTACTGAAGCCATCTAAAGAAAACAAAAGCATCATAGACTAAATAAAGGAACAGTTATTTATTTCAGATTAGACTTTTGGATCAAGTACATATGTAATGCAGATTGCAATATGAACATGATTTGTCTTTTTTTTCTAGAATACTATAGATAGTTAGGGAGATAGCCTGGAAAGAAATATTCGGAAACTGTTATGTAAAGAAAAAATACAGATGCATACCTTAAGTTCTGTGAAAACAGATAGCCATTAAGATTCAGAATGGCTCATCCTAACTCACTATAGTATAAAAAGGGAGGGAAACAAAAGCACAATCAGAGTTACAAAATTGTATTAGTCTTGTCTATCTCAATAGAATAGAGCATGGGTCTCCAACCTCTGGGCTGCAGCCCACTATTGGACTGTGAGCTGTTTGCAACCAGACTATGGAAACTGTGGGCAAATGGGTAAGCATGCAAGTGCATCCCCACTTGTTCAGGCAGCGGGCAGTCCCATTTGTGTGAGTGGCAGGTGCATGTGCATGCTAGTCATTCAAATGGAGCTGCGCATGCGCACTTGCTGACCACTCATATGGAATCATCCCTGTTCTCCCCCTTTTCCAACAGTCCGCAAAGGTGGAAAGTTGGGGAATTCTGGAATAGCATATTAGTCTGTTGAGTTGCTTTCCAATCTGATCTGTTTTGTAAAGTGACAGATTCTTAGAGGAGATTCCTGTACATCAGCAGAACCTTAATTTAGACTATTTTGAACTCGGGCTCCGGAGGTAATGACGAGGCTCAGTGCTAACACAACAGCTTTATTAGAACAGTAACTAGACAGGAACATGAACAAACACTCTGACAGCCCTTTTATACCCCGAGCTGTCAGCGCACTAACCAATAGGAACCAAATCTCCCGCGTAAACAACATGCGAACGGACCAATCAAACAACACCCTGCCTGATTGACAAGAGAGGGCGGGACACGCAGATATGTGACATAGACAGAGGCCCCATTGATTTCAGCAAGTCTCATTCTAAAAATGCCAGTGTTTGGATCTAACCCTCCTTATATGCAAATGCTGATGCCACATATTTATAAAAAGTTAACCAGATAAGTTGTGAATGCCTTAGAAATGAAGTTTACTCTTCCGTCTATGCTATATTCCCCCTGTCACTAGGATGAATTATGAATTGCTAACATATTTCAAAGATGATTAATCCTGCTTTCATTAGGTGTGTATATGAACTGAACTAAGTTTATTATTAAAATTAAGTAATTGCCAAACATGTTACAAGGAAAAAGAAAAAAACCCCAGCCGAGTTGTTGCCAAGATTAAAAGCGGCCACCTGGCTTCCAGATTGTGTTAATTGCTGTAGTGTTTACTGAACAACACTGAAAGTGAATAGATGCCTACATGTGTATCAACCATAAGTGTGAATAGATATCACTGCCATAGTGACCCTGTTATCCTATTAGTTTTTTAAATATTTGGATACTCTTTTCTCTAAGACAGAAAGATATAAAACGGTGTAGTGGCAATGTGGAAGACCATTGTATTTCAATGATATTTTGATTTCTCCTTCATAATAGGAACATTCTAGAAGTTTAGAGTTAATTCTGAGCCAACCTGCTTGTTTTTCATTCTTGCTTGATAAATAAGGGGGGGGAGGGCATCTTCACACAGCTGTAGATTGTTTAGATTACCACTGGCTTATCAGAACCCTTGTTTGGGAGTTATGCATTATCCAGACCAGGTCAGATCCTGCAGTTTTATTACCGTGGAAGTAGGCTTATGAGTTATGACGTTTGGTGCCAGACCTTAATAAGGTCATTTGAACTTTGGAACAGGCTTGAGTGTTCATCATACCGCAGATCCTGGCCTTTGTGGTCTCTTCACTGGGGCTCCCAACAACTGGTGAGAGCATCTTGCTTGGTATGTTATGCTTTTATGTTTATAGCAGCCTGCTAAAGTTATTATAAAGCTTGAAATCTCCTTACCTAGTTGTGTGTTGATTGTCTCTTCCACTGCCTGACACTTGACAAAACAGATATTTTCTCATTTAATTTTTTTTAATTGTCACCTTCAAAATTTGAGAGTGGAAATCCCATAAAACTAACTTATTCAAGACCCATTTGAGAATTTTTCTAATGAGTGAAAGAAACAGTCCACATGTAAAGTGGCACTTTCTATTATCTACTCAATTTAATCCTGGCATTTGTGTCCTTAATTGTTCCTTGTATATTTCCCCACTGAGAAATTCACTAGATCGGATAACAGTGGCTTCTCCTTTACTATGACACTTGTTGAGATGTGCAGCTTTACCAATGGATTAAGTAAATAAAAATAAATGTCAATTTTACTGCAAGAGGACTCTGCAAGGTGTATAATGTGAATGTTTTTCTTAGCAATGTAATCATAAAAGTAAAAAGGACATGAAAGTGACAGAGAATCTCTTAGGCATTTATCCTCCCTGAATTTTTCATGGAAACATGTGATAAAAATAGTTTACATAGGTAAATGTCAGTATAATACAATAGTGCTGTTCATTGAGTTCTTCTAAAGATCATTTTGGCAAACATTTTGCAAACAAATACAGGGGGGAAATCATCCAATGCTTACACATTATTGCAAATTATTTATGACATGGATATAACTAGAGGATCTGCTTTTAATATATGTAGTATTGTTTCCTGGCTGGAAACAATTACCTCAAATAACAGCTAATCAAATACATAGAAACTATTGTGCTTGGAGCCATGCATAATATAGTCTGCATGGAGTTAAGAATATTTGTTTTATTGTGTCTCCTTTTAACAATGTATATAGATGCCCATCTCACAATACTGTGCCTCTAAGTATATTAAATGATTAAAACTTAAAACAAAAACACCTTATATAAAAAACATAAATAATAACCAGAAGCAACAAATAAACATAAACCTACAGTATGTGTAAGATTTAAGAACATTCTAGGACTGGAACCAAACAAATCAACCAATAGAGTTGACTTAGCCCAAAGGTCTGGGCAGGAGATCAGCCTGCTCTTTACAAGAGACTAACAGAGTCTGGGCCATTTGGATTTATTTATTTAGAGTATGGCAATATGATACATAGACTAACAATATATATTAACATTTCACCTAGGTTAATATAACACAATAAAATATAAATGTTAAAAAGATTTGTGTTCAAATACCAATGTCCAGGCCATCTAACCACTGAAGCACAGCATTGTTCATATTTTAAAAAAAATCAGATAGTAGACTGGTGTCCCCTCAGCTTACAGTTTGATGCAAGACAATCCACTACCTGGATTTACAGGTAGATACAGTTTTATAGGGCCAGTATTGCACATTTTGCTGAAATTTGTAGTTTAGTTCCAATGATTCTATATTGCATCTTCACGTTTTTTTAAAAAGGAATGCAGGTGGGTGGGAAGTGAAGCTTTACAGTACTATAAAAGTAAAGGTCTCCTCTGCCCAGTCATCTCCAACTAGGGGTGGTGCTCATCTCTGTTTCTTAGCTGAGGGAGTCAGCCTTGACCAAAGATGCTTCCATGGTCATGTGTCCAGCATGACTATACGTCGAGAGGCAGGGAATGCTGTTACCTTCCCACTGAAGTTATACCTGTTTATCTACTTGCATTTGCATGGTTTTGAACTGCTAGGGTGGCAGGAGCTGGGTCAAGTAAAAGGAGCTCACTTTGTTGTGCAGTGACTGAGTCGCGAACCCGGCCTGCCAGCTTTCCAGTTGACAAGCTCAGTGTCTTTAACAAGTGAGCAACCATGACCCCTTTGCAGTACTACTCATTTTCCCCTGAAAATAACACTGGGTCTTCTTACATTAACTTTTGCTCCAAAAGATGCATTAGGGCTTATTTTCCCGTTAGGTCTTATTTTTGGGAAAATATGGTATTAAATGCATCCATCTGATTGATGATCTTAACTGGGGCTTATTTTGGGGGCAGGGCTTAAATTTCAAGCATCCTGAAGCTAGGGCTTATTTTCCAGTTGGATCTTATTTTTTGGGAAACAGAGTATAAAGAGGTAGGAAAGCAAGAAGGGCATGCTTAGTTAGGTAGCAACCAAAAGTGTCTCACTTTTGGAGTCATTGGAGTGATGAGCTTCCGGGGGGGGGGAGGGAAAATGGAGGGTGAGGAAAAATTACTTAATGGACCATTATTGGGTCAACCACAACATAATTTTTAAAATGGTGGGAATGTGCCAGGCCTTCTAGCCAACTGGACCTGGGGTGGATCAG